CAATACGACCTCAACTTCGAGGCGCTGGTCGCCCTGCTGTGCCGCGCTCGGCCCGCGTGGCCGGCGCGTGGCGGCGGCTCTTTCTCTTGCCGCTGCTGCCGCTTCTCCCGCTCCATCCTCCCCTCCTGTTCCTCCTCCTCTTCCTCCGCCTCGTCCTCCTCCTCCTCCTCCTCCTCCGCCTTGTCCTCCTCCGCCTCGTCCTCCTCCTCCTCCTCCTCCTCCTCCTGCATTCCCCTTGTGGCCCCCCCTGGCTCTCCTCCTACGTGCGGTCCGGAACTTTTGCTCTGCTTGTCGCGCCATCGTCTCAGGAAATAGCATTGAGTCGGGCATGTCCATCTACAGGAGGAATATTCAAAAGTAGTAAAACATATTCAAACATAGTAAGACCGATGACACAGGCACGCAATCCAAAAATTGAACAACCTCGAACCCCGATTGTCGAATTACGCAGATCGAGGTCGGTTGCTTGCTTCGGCTCTAATGCTTCTGATCGAGGAGCCTCGTTTCGTTACTACCCACCGATGGTCACCTGCGTGAAGCGATCCTCGAACCTCGACCCTGGATCCGGCAGGCCAGGGAGATGCGGCAGGTTCGCGTCGTGCTGGCGCGGCTGCGACCCCGCCGCGGGCGTCTTGAGGTTGAAGGCCGCCAGTGGCCCAGACTTGTTCAACATGGATCAGTCTGGCGATCGGGAAGCCGTGGATCGTTGAATGCCGAACGATCCGCGCGGCACCGCAGACCCACGCCGGGGCCGATGCGGCACGAAGTTGCCGTGAGCCTCTGGAGGTTCGCGCCGATCTCTCGGATCGGCGCGCCAAGGTCCCCCTTGGCGGCGCCTCCAGCGCCGCCCCCGGGCGCGCGAGGGAGGAAGGTCCAGTGCCTAACCAGCAGGTCCGCGCGGACCTCCGACGGGTTGTGCCTGCGCAGACTTGCTTCAGAAGGGGGGAAGTGACACACAGACGCAAATCATCGCCGAGATCCAGGGAAGTATGGGAAAATATGGGAAGTGTGGGGAGGCCAGGCATCTAAAATTCATGGACACATCTGGGGAGCCCTGGGCTTTGTGCGTGTTTTTGTTTGTGTGTCCTTGGGCCCCTTGGTTGCTCTTTGCTCCCCCGAGGGCGAGCAGCAGCGCCTCGACAGACGAGCCGCTGCAGCGGTGTCGGAAGCCCGAGCCAGGGTCGCCACGGCACAGGCCCGCCGGACCCCGGACCCCCGACGCCATGCTGTTGTTGAGCAGCGTCGAACCCCCCAGATAGGGGGCCGCATGCGGCCCCCTACCAGAGGCCTCGACCCCTTCGCCAGGACACACTGGAAGGGACCTCTCAAGCTTTCGTCAGGCCTGCGCAGTGCCCATAAAAGCAAGAGCGCAGCTGGGCACAGGAGGGCGTGCGGGCAGCTACGGAGTTCGGACATGCAGAAGCAGGGTGCAGACGACGCTGCAAAGCCCCAGGACTGACCTCTTGCCTCCCGAGTCGTCTTTGGACGGTGCGTGGGCCAGCCGGCCTCGAGGGCCCCCTCAGGGGCCGAACGCATTGCAAGATGCCTCCCGCCACATGCTTGTGCCACGACGCGGGGGGGGCCCGTGGAGGAGACGGAGGAGGAGGAGGAGGAGGAGGAGGAGGAGGAGGAGGAGGAGGAGGAGGAGGAGGAGGACGAGGAGGAGGAGGAGGAGGAGCCGACCCGGGCGAGGGCCATCGCTCGTCCTGCGCCTCCTCGGGTCGGGGGCGCCCCCCAGGACAGGGCTCATTTTTCGACTCCTCCGATTCGGTCCGATGCGATTTCGATCGTTATTCCGATGCAGATTCGAGTCTGCTTCGAGTTCCGCTCTGGATTTCGGCTTCCCAGCGGCGGCCTTCCTAGCAAGCATGCCGATTTCGGCCGATTTGACTTCTCCCGACTTGGCTGCCCATTTCCGCCGAGACGATTCCTTTCGATCGCCGATCCGACTTGTCGGTCCGATGCTGGGCTCTCCTGGCGGCAGCGGCCGCGGCGGCGGCCCGGGCAGCGGCCCGACCCTCCAGACCCCCCCCTGGCGGCAGGCCCCCCTGCCCAGAAGGGCAGCCGAGGCACCGAGCGTCGCTCCAGGCTGCCCCACGCACGCGGCCCGCGCATCACCGGTGCATCGGCGATGCGGCGCGGCCCTCCGGCCAAAAGCGCCCGCAGCCAGAGGAGGAAAAGGTACTTATACACCGCTGCCCTTGCCTCGTTTTCGCCTGTTTGGGCCTCCCGGGAGGCCCTCGTCGCAACCGCTGAAATCGCCTCGAAGTTTAGATCGCTCCCCGGGAGAGATCCAGGGAGTAGCGGTATGGGTACCTCTTGGCTTCCCCACGCAGGATGCCATTCCTGGGAGGTCAAGCGCTCAGAGTCGGTGCTGGCAGATCCCGGGTCGAAACCTGGCCTGCTGGCCTCTTGGCTGTGCAGTGCTGTGCAGAAGCCATGCGCCAGCCCTTGGCACGGCGCTTGGGCACCACTGTTAAGTCAGGCGTGCCCCCCTACAGGGGGATTTTCGACGAAACATAAAACATACACCAAAAATACAAAAAAACAAATCAAAAAATAGTCTGGGGACTATTTTTTTGAGTATTTTTTGACCTTCTGGGGGTATTTTGGGGGTATCTTTTATTTTTCGTCGAAAGTCCCCCTGTAGGGGGACACGCCCGACATAACACCGCTGTCGCCTCTGAGCCGCGTTTCCGGTCGCGGCGCGCGGGCGGAAGATGGCGCCACTGGCACACCTTTTGTGAGCGGTCGAAGGGCACCCCTGCGCGCGGCCTGGCTGCTCCCGCGGAATCCGGCGGAGTTCGGCTTAAATCCTGCTTGCTTCCGCTTATCGGTTACACGTAAGAGTGACCCTGGGTAAGAGTGACCTTTGGTGCGCGGCTTTGGGGGGGCCGCGGGGAGGCCAAATTCAGGCGCGCTAGCCGCTGCTACCGCTTCGCGTTTGGCCATCTGGGGGCCCATCTGTGCCCGCACCAAAGGTCACTTCGGCGAAAGGTTACTCTTACTTACGTCTAGTCGAATCGGCTACATGTAAGAGTGACTTTTCGCCAGAGTGACCTTTGGTGCGGGCCCATTGGGCCTCCTCCCCGATCGCCGACTGCGATGTGGTGGCAGCGGCTTGCGCGCTTGAGTTTGACCCCCCTCGCGTCCCGCAGAAGCCGCGCACCAGAGGTCACTCTTCCCCAGGGTCACTCTTGCGTGTAGCCAATGCTACGGCTCAATCCCGGGCTTCATCCAGCCTGATCCGGCTCAGTGGCCCCTTGGTCGAGCTGAAGAGCCGTTCATTATTCCGACGGGGGCCTCCCAGGAGTTGCCTCCTGGAAGTGCCCACGCTCCCTCGCGCCGTAAGACCTATTTTCGGCCTTCTGGGGCCCTCGCAGGGCCGCGGGACCGTGAGCAAAAAAAAAACGTCTCGGGATGCAAACCCCAGTCCTGAGGAGTGGGTCGAGAGCTCGGTGGTCGGCGTTGTGAACACATCATGGCGTCTGGGGTCTGGGTCTGGGTCTGGCTCTGGTCCCATCCGTGCGGCCTTCCTTAGGGGAACAAGCAATGACATAAACATAGAAAAGTCGGAGGTCCGCGCGGATTCCTCGGATCGGAATCCGCGCGGACCTCCTAGTTTTTCTGTTTATGGCATTCTTTGCTCCCCTACTTCAGTCACGCCCTCTTCGCTGCTCCCTCTTGGGCCACACGAGGCTCCACGGCGCTTCCGCGGCGACGGCCCCGGGGCGGCAGAGGGCTCCCACGACGGCTGCTGGTCGGGGGTGCCTGCCCTGGGAGGAGGAGGAGGAGGCGGAGGATGAACAATCACCATAATACGAATAGTAATATTAAGAATAAGAGTAATATTAGAATATGAGTGAGAATCACAATAATCATCATAAGAAAACGAATATTAATAAGAAGACATATTATCCCAGTGCGACCCTACCTAGGAGTTGGAACCCCTAGGAAAGCAGCATTAGTAGTAACAATAACGCTAAGCTAAAGCTAAGCCACAGCTAAGCTAAAGCTAAGCTAAAGCTAAGCTAAAGCTAAGCTAAAACTAAACTAACTCTAAGCTAAAGCTAAGCTAAAGCTGAGCAACATCTAAGCTAAAGCTAAGCTAAAGCTAAGCTAAAGCTAAGCTAAAGCTAAGCTAAAGCTAAGCTAAAGCTAAGCTAAAGCTAAGCTACAGCTAAGCTAAAGCTAAGCTAAACGCTAAGCTAAAGCTAAGCTAAAGCTAAGCTAAACGCTAAGCGAAAAGCTAAGCGAAACGCTAAGCTAAAGCTAAGCTACAGCTAAGCTAAAGCTAAGCTAAAGCTAAGATAAAGCTAAAGCTAAAGCTAAAGCTCCCAGGGGACTGGGGGGAACCGCTCCCAGGGGACTGGGGGAACCGCCCGGGACGTGTAGCACTGCCCGGCCCCTTTAAGCTAAGAGAGTAAGAACCCTTCTAGGCAGAGCCTAGGTAGGGAATAAGAAGGAATTATCCCAGTGCGACCCTACCTAGGATTTGGAACCCCTAGGAAAGCAGCATTAGTAGTAAGAGTAACGCTAAGCTAAAGCTAAGCTAAAGCTAAGCTAAAGCTAAGCTAAAGCTAAGCTAAAGCTAAGCTAAAGCTAAGCTAAAGCTAAGCTAAAGCTGAGCAACAGCTAAGCTAAAGCTAAGCTACAGCTAAGCTAAAGCTAAGCTAAAGCTAAGCTAAGCTAAAGCTAAGCTACAGCTAAGCTAAGCGAAAAGCTAAGCGAAACGCTAAGCTAAAGCTAAGCTAAAACTAAGCTAAAGCTAAGCTAAAGCTAAGCTAAAGCTAAGCTAAAGCTAAGCTAAAGCTAAGCTAAAGCTAAGCTAAAGCTAAGCTCAAGCTAAGCTCAAGCTAAGCTAAAGCTAAGCTAAAGCTAAGCTCAACCTAAGCTCAACGCTAAGCGAAACGCTAAGCGAAACGCTAAGCTAAAGCTAAGCTACAGCTAAGCTAAAGCTAAGCTAAAGCTAAGCTAAAGCTAAAGCTAAAGCTAAAGCTAAAGCTAAAGCTAAAGCTGAAGCTCCCAGGGGACTGGGGGGAACCGCCCCCAGGGGACTGGGGGAACCGCCCGGGACGTGTAGCACTGCCCGGCCCCTTTAAGCTAAGAGAGTAAGAACCCTTCTAGGCAGAGCCTAGGTAGGGAATAAGAAGGAATTATCCCAGTGCGACCCTACCTAGGAGTTGGAGCCCCTAGGAAAGCAGCATTAGTAGTAACAGTAACGCTAAGCGAAAGCTAAGCTAAAGCTTAGCTAAAGCTAAGCTAAAGCTAAGCCGCAGCTAAGCTAAAGTTAAGCTAAAGCTAAGCTAAAGCTAAGCTAAATCTAAGCTAAAGCTAAGCTAAAGCTAAGCTAAAGCTAAGCTAAAGCTGAGCAACAGCTAAGCTAAAGCTAAGCTACAGCTAAGCTAAAGCTAAACTAAAGCTAAGGTAACGCTAAGCTAAAACTAAGCTAAAGCTAAGCTAAAGCTAAGCTAAACGCTAAGCTCAAGCTAAGCTAAAGCTAAGCTAAAGCTAAGCTAAAGCTAAGCTAAAACTAAGCTAACGCTAAGCTAAAGCTAATCTAAACGCTAAGCGAAAAGCTAAGCGAAACGCTAAGCTAAAGCTAAGCTACAGCTAAGCTAAAGCTAAGCTCAAGCTAAGCTAAAGCTAAAGCTAAAGCTAAAGCTAAAGCTGAAGCTCCCAGGGGACTGGGGGGAACCGCGGGGCGGGGACTGGGGGAACCGCCCGGGGCGCTTTGCACTGCCCGGCCCCTTTAAGCTAAGAGAGTAAGAACCCTTCTAGGCAGAGCCTAGGTAGGGAAAAACGAGAGAACTAACAATAACAGTAATAAGAAGGATGAGGAGGAGGAGGAGGAGGCGGAGGACGAGGAGGGCGAGGAGGGCGAGGAGGAGGAGGAGGAGGGGGAGGGGGAGGAGGAGGAGGAGGTAACACCGAGGCACCACGTGTCCTCGCGGCACGACGCCCTCTTCGAGGCGGTGGAGCTCATGCTGGAGGCGGGCAGTGGCGGGGTCGGGGCGGGGGGGGGGCAGGAGGCATGCAGTGGTCCTCACGGAGCAGCCGCCTTCGTGCAAGTGGTGTGCGCCCAGAATTATGTCGGGCGTGTCTCGCTACAGGGGGATATTCGACGAAAAATCAAAGATACCCCCAAACAAGTTAGAAAATAACCACAAATAATACGGGGAGTTTTTTTTTTTTTTTGTTTTGTTTTTTTTTTCGTCGAACATCCCTCTGTATGGAGGACACGCCCGACACAAGCCCAGAAGCGGCGCCAGGCGGCGCGGTTTGGCGCGGAGGAAGGATCTGCTGCGCTCGGCCGCGCGCGAGGGGGCATGCAGTGGTGACCGCCACATGCACAAACACCGTCGCACGCAGTTCACCGCCAACGGGGGCTATGTGGAGGTGCCAACCTCGCGGCAGATGAAGCGCGCACAGAAAAGAAGATAGTCCAGCACATGGCGTTGCTCATAGGCCAGACGAATCAGCGGCACCAGCACATCTGAGCGAAACGAGGTCATCACGTGGAAGCTGTGGCGCATCTGCCCCCCTCCTCTGGCGGCAATTTTTTTCGCGACATAGGCCACGGGGGATCTCGATCTCTTCCCGCGGACCCGCTCTTCCTGCCGAGCCGTTCTTCTGACGGTCCTGGGGAGGGAAGTGGCCTCCGGAGGCCGCAGACGTAGAAGGACTGCCGTTTTCGATTTTCTTGGCGACGTCCGAATCTGAGTGAAGGCAGGCGATCGCACCGCCGCGGAACGAGAGAGTGATGGTGGCCATGGCTTGCCAAGCGCACTGTGTGAGGCTGGCCGATCTGGCACACTCTCGACTGCGGAGGCGGTCGGTGCCCGTCGGCAAAAGCGAGCGAAGCGCGTGATGAGGACGCCGAGGCCCTGGCGCAGCAGGGAGGGGGAGCGGTGGAGAGGGGGGGAAAGAGAGTGACGCCACACGCTCGGCCAGCGTGGGGCGGGCCCTGGATCCAGCCCTCGTTCCTCCTCGCATTCCTCCATCCCTCTCCTCCTCCTCCTCCTCTCCCTCGACCTCTCCCCTTTCCTTCTCCTCTTCCTCCCTCCTTATCTTCCTCATCCTCGTCCGCCTCTTCCTCCTCCTCCTCCTTCAGATGACCAGCTTGACAGGGGCAAAGGCAGCATGTCTCGAAGAAGAGACTCCGCACGCGCATGAACTGCCGGAGGGCCGCGCGGATCTGTCAGATCGGCGCTGGACCTCCCTGGCGGCGCTTCTGGCGCCGCCCCTGGCGCGCTCCGCGCACCAGGAAGGGGGGTCCCGCGCCGATCATGGAAATCCGCGCGGACAACGGCAACTTTTCGCCTATGTCCTATTTCTCTTCTCCTACTGCTTCCATCCAGTGGGTGGACCTCCCCTTGCATGCCTCATCCTGGAGAGGGAAAGGCTGCAACGGAGCGTGCTGCCGCCCCCTGCTGGGCTTCCTTTGCTCCGATGGGTCCGGTGTCGATCTCGATTCCAGCTGGCTCGACCCGGCTCGAGATTCTGGTCTACGAACGACTTCTGCAGTGTGGTGCTTGCATGGAGCTGCTGTGCGGCCTTGCGCCGCCGATCCGGTTCGATTCCGATTCCGTGCCGATGCAGCCCGATCCGACACATGCCAATTCAAGCGATGCTGACAGAATTCGTCCCTGTTTGTGAGAGGAGGTGGACGAGGCGGAGTCTGCTGAACCTGCTGGCAGGGAGGTCAGCGTCTTTCCTGTGCAGATGCTGCATCACGCCACTTCGGACGGAACCCTCGTGGCACGAGCAAGGAGAAGAGCAGGAAGACGAGAAGGATGAATATGACGACGACGATCACGACGACGATGATGACGACGAGAAGGTGATGGCGATGAAAATTAGTTTGAGGATGAGGACCAGTGTAAACCCAAGAGTCATCAACGATGTTGGAATAAACCTTCCGTCCAAGCTCCCTCTTCATAGGCCCCACACCAGGGTTCATTCCACTGACGAAACCGCCTCGTTGGAAAACAATCGGTTGAAGACCTGGAAGCATGCCAAAACATTGTGCTCGGGATTCCAACGCCATGGATCAATTTGACTGTCGCGTCTTGATGATCCTAAATCGTGCCAGAACGCCATCCTTGGGATTTCAGCACCGCGAATCAACGTAACTGTTGCGCCCTCAATGTCCTGAACCCTTCCAAAACGCCATTTCTGGTACGTTGATCATGGGAATTCGTCAAACTCTTGCATTCATGTTTCTTAAAATGTACGCGGCGCTGATGCGAGAGCCACATTTTGAAAAGGAGCCGCCCTCAACCCGTAAAATTATATATGTTTTTTTGAAACGAACGTGCGCGGCGCTAAAGCGAGAACCACATTTTGAAAACGATCCGCCCTCAATCCGTGAAGCTCCTTCAAAGCTTTAAAGCGAATGTGCGCGGCGATACGGCGAGAGCCACATTATGAAAACGGGTGGCCCTCAATCCATGAAATTCTTGGAATTTGTTTAAACGAATGTGCGCCGCGTTCTAGCCGGAGCCACATTTCCAAAACGACCCGCCCTCCATCTGTGAAGCTGTTCTCAATTTTTAAGTTTCAGCGTCTTTAGTTGTGAGGAAGTCGCAGGCGAAACGCCAGGCTCGCCCTAACAACCGACCTCGGGGTGCGACAGGTTATACGGAGAAGGTCTCGAGGATGAGCATGAGCTTGAGGATGAAGATGATGATGGTGATGATGGTGATGATACTGATGATGATCATGATGATGATGAGGGTGGTGGTGGTGGTGGTGGTGATGCTGATGTTGTTGTTGTTGTTGCTGATGCTGATGACGATGTTGACAGCGACGATGCTGACAATTAATCTTATGGTGATGGTGACACTGCTGCTGCTGGTGACGTTGATGATTATGACGACGACGGTGATGATGACGATCATGATGGTGATGATGATATTTGTGGCGATGATGATGGTGATGATGATGCTGCTGCTGATGATGATGGCGATGCCGACGACGATGTCGTTGACTAGTTTTTATGATCAAGGTGACGGTGACGCTGCTGCCGATGATGATGATGATGATGAGGATAATTCGTATGACGATGATGGGGTTGTTGATGATGATGATGACGATAATGATGATGACGACGATGGTTTTTACGCTGCTGGTGATGTCGTTGCTGTTGATGGTGATGAGGATGAGGATGCTGATGATGGTGATGGTAATTACGATGATGATGATGATGATGATGATGATGATGATGATGATGACGACGATGACGCTGCTGGCGATGACGATTAGGCTGATGATGCTGCTGATGATGCTCATGATGGTGATTTGTGGTGATGGTGATGATGACGATCATGCTGATGATGGCGATGATTCTGCAGATAACGAAACTTATTACGATGCTGATGGCGATGCTGACGATGAAGAGGCTGAGTGTGCAGATGCTGACGGTGACGTCTACGATGATGGTGGTGACGACGATGATTTTGAGGGCGGTGACGCCGATGCCGATTATGTCAGTGGTGGTGATGATGCGGATGCGCATGAGGATGGTGGTGATCATGTGGATAATGCTGCTGATGCTGATAATGGCGACGATGATGATGACGACGATAACGATGGTGATGGTCATGGTGATGGTGATAAAGCTGATGACGATGATGCTGGTGATGATGATGCTGATGATGATGCTGATACTGATGATGCTGATGATGCTGATTCTGCTGATGATGAAGATGACCATGATCCTGATGAAGACGACGATGATGATTTGGATGAAGGTGATGCTGATGATTACGCTGACGGTGATGCTAACGGTGATCATGCTGCTGCTGATGATGAGAATGATGATTATAATGATGGTACTGCTGATGCTGATGGTAATGATGATGCTGATTATGCTGATTATGCTGATTGTGCTCATGCTGATAGTGCTCTTGATCGCGGCGGCGATGAGGATGATGATAGTGGTGGTAGTATTTTTGAATACGGTGATGACGATGCTGCTGATGATGGTGATGCTGCTTCTGATGCTGATGGTGATGACCAGGATGATGAGGACGACGACGTTGATGATGCTGCTGATGATGATGCTGATTTTGATGACGATGATGATGATGTTGATGACGATGCTGATGATGATGATGATGATGCTGATGATGATGATAATTATGGCCATGCTTATTCTGATGATGTTCGTGATGCTGATATTTCTGATTATGGTGATGATGATTGTGAGAATTCGGATGATGATGGCCGTTGTTGTTGTGGTGGTGACGATGGTAATGATGATACCGCGAATGATAGTGGTGATGATTATGGCGACGACGGCGAAGACCACAACAATGATGATGATGTTGATGCTGCTACTGATGCTGCGCTGCTGATGATGCTGCTGTTGCTGTTTGTGCTGCTGCTGATGATGACGATGATGGCGAGGACTATCTTGATGATGAGGATGATGCTGATGATGATGACGATGGTGATGCTGCTGATGCTGATGCTGCTGATGATGATGCTGATGATGATGATGATGATGATGACGCGGATGATGACGATGATTGTGCCGATGACGATGGTGATGATGATGCTGATGATGTCGATGATGAGGATGATGATGATTGTGATGTGATGCTGATAATGAAGAAGACAATTATGTTGATGCTGCTGTTGATGATGTGAAGATGGTGCAGATGATGCTGATGAAGGAGATGGTGATGATGCTGATGATGATGATACTGACAATGATGACGCTGCTGATGATGATGATGGGGATGATGCTGAGATGCTGATGATGCTGCTGATGATGATGGTGGTGGTGGTGATGATGCTGATGATGCTGCTTCTGATGATGGTGCTAATGATTATGATGATATTTGCGATGCTGATGGCGATGATGATGCTGCTGCTGGTGATGATGATGCTGCTGATGATCAGGACGACGATGATGATGATGATGATGATACTGACAATGATGACGCTGCTGATGATGGGGATGATGCTGAGATTCTGATGATGCTGATGATGATGGTGGTGGTGGTGATGATGCTGATGATGCTGCTTCTGATGATGGTGCTAATGATTATGATGATATTTGCGATGCTGATGGCGATGATGATGCTGCTGCTGCTGATGATGATTGTGCTGATGATCAGGACGATGATGATGATGACGATAATGATGATGATGCTGATGATGATGATGATGCTGATGATGATGATGATTTGGATGGTGATGATGCTGATGATGATGCTGATGATGTTGGTGCTGCTGCTGCCGATGACGATGATGCTGCTGCTGATGATGATGACGATGATGATGATGATGATGATGATGATGATGATGATGATGATGATCATGCTGATGATGATGACGATGATGATGATTATGATGATGATGATGCTGATGATGATGATGTTAATGATGATGATGCTGATGATGATGATGATGATGATGATGATGGTGGTGGTGATGATGATGATGATGATAATGATGATGAAGCTGATGATGATGATGAAGAAGAATAATAATAATGATGGTGATGATGGCAACCACGATGATGTGACTTATCAGGAATAAGAAGATGATGATGATGATGATGATGATGATGATGATGATGATGATGATGATGATGATGATGATGATGATGATGATGATGATGATGATGGTGGTGATGGTGAGGAGGAGGGAGGAGGATGAGGAGGAGGATATGGAGGATATGGAGGATAGGAGGGAGGAGGAGGAGGAGGAGGAGGATAGGAGGAGGAGGAGGGAGGAGGAGGGAGGAGGAAGAGGAGAAGCAGGCGGAGGAGACGCAAGAAGAGGAGACGCAGCAGTAGGAGACGCAGGAGGAGGAGGTGGAGGAGGAGGAAAAGGAGGAGGAGGAGGAGGAGGAGGAGGAGGAGAAGGAAGAAAAGGAGGAGGGTACGCAGGAGGAGGAGGAGGAGGAGGAGGAGGAGACGCAAGATGATGATGCTGATGAGGAGAAGGATGAGGAGGTGGAGGAAGAGGAAGAGGATGAGGAGTAGAGCAGGAAGAGGAGGAGGAGGAGGAGGAGGAGGAGGAGGAGGAGGAGGAGGAGGTACATCGGGTGCAGGATGGGGAGGGACGGGAGCGGGTGAGGCAGGAGGGGGCGCCGGAGGAGCAGAGCTGAGGGCCTCCGATCAGCACCCCCCCCCCCCCCCGCGCAGGCGGACGAGCAGCAGAAGCACCGCCTGCAGGGCGTTCGGGGCAGCCCAAACCGCGCCGCTTCCGCCGCTGCCTCCGCCCACCTCCCCCGTCTGTGCCTCCGGAGAGGGATGGCCATCATCACCACCGCCATCTCAGTAATGGCCCATCCGCCCCTGCCTCAGCCACTGCCTCCTCCTCCGCCTCCTCCTTCCCCCCTGCCGTCTTCTTGCTCCTCCCGCTGCTCCTTCTGTCGACGGGGACCAGGAGGCGCCCCCCCTGGAGGCCGAAGACGGGGAACACTGAGCGTCGCGATCTTATTTTTGCGGCGGCCGTATCTTGGGGGCTTTTTCCTCCGACGATCGTCTGTCGAATAACTGGCCTGGACAATGACATAATACTTACATAGGTACATACACATACATACATACACACATATGTATGTATATATATATATATACACATATTTTTGGCGCATCAGCCAGCGCAGACTCAAGATATCGGAAGACTGGAATGAAGTGAACTGGAGCGGACTGAGGTCGAGTGGACTGGAGAAGACTGGACTGGACTGGGTTTGGCTTGACTGGCCAGGACTGGTAGACTGGACTGGTCTACTCGGCTCTACTCTACTCCACTCTAGCCCACTCGATCTACTCTACCCTGCTCTGCTCTACTTCACTCTACTCGATTCTACTCCACTCTACTCTACCATATACCCTGCTTTATTCTACTCTGCTTTACTCTACACTACTCTACCCTTCTCTACTCTACTCCTACTCTGCCCTACTCTATGTACTCTGCTCTACTCTATTCTACTCGATTCTGCCCGACTCTCTACCATCTACCCTACTCTATTCTGCTCTACTCTACCCTACCCTACCTCACCCAACCTGGTTTACTCTATACTATTCTGCTCCTACTCTACTCCTGCTCTACTCCTACTCTACTTTGCTCTACCGATAGGAGCACCCTACGGGTGATAAGGAGGTTTGGGGGGGAAGGGGGAGGCGGTCGATATGCGATGACTCCCACCTGCCGCCACCAAAGAGTGCGCGGGCAAATAGATACCACCTACTTCCGCCTGCTTCTATCTAAGTGTTTTCCATGTTTCTATATCTCTGGCAATCTATCTATCTATCTGTCCATCGAGTCGACACTTCAATCAGTCTACCTATCTATCTACCAACCAATCAAGATGTCGATCTGTCGAGTGGATCCATCAACCAGTCTATCTATCTACCAACCTTTTAGGACAACCATCGGGACACTTATCGGGACAACCATCGGGACAACCATCGGGACAACCATCGGGACACTTATCGGGACAACCATCGGGACAACCATCGGGACAACGATCGGAACAACCATCGGGACAACCATCGGGACAACCATTGGGACAACCATCGGGGCAACCATCGGGACAACCATCGGGACACTTATCGGGACAACACCACTGGAACAACCCCATCGGGACAACCATCGGGATAACCATTGGGACAACCATCGGGACAGCCAGCGGGACAACCATCGGGACAACCATCAGGACAGTCATCGGGACACCCATCGGGACACCCATCCAGAGAACCATCGGGACAACCATCTGGACAACCATCCGGACAACCATCGGGACTACGATCGGGACAACTATCGGGACTACCATCGGGACAACCATTGGGACAACCATCGGCACAAAAAAACATCGGGACAACCATCGGGACTATCATCGGGACAACCATCGTGACACCCATCCGGACAACCAACCGGGACAATCATCGGGACAACCATCGGGACACTTATCGGGACAACCATCGGGACTACCATCGGGACAACTATCGGGGCACCCATCGGGACACCCATCGGGACAACCATCGGGACAACCATCGGGACAACCATTGGGACAACCATCGGCACAAAAAAAACATCGGGACAACCATCGGGACTATCATCGGGACAACCATCGGGACAACCATCGGGACACTTATTGGGACAACCATCGGGACAACCATCGGGACAACCATCGGGACACTTATCGGGACAACCATCGGGACAACCATCGGGACAACCATGGGACAACCATCGGGACAACCATCGGGACAACCATCGGGGCAACCATCGGGACAACCATCGGGACGCCTATCTGGACAACCATCGGGACAACCATCGGGACAACCATCGGGACAACTATTGGGACAACCATCGGGACTATCATCGGGACAACCATCGGGACAACCATCGGGACACTTATCGGGACAACCATCGGGACAATCAGCGGGACAACCATCAAAACAACCCGCGGGACAACCATCGGGGGCCGCGCCCAGTCGGGGGAGGGCGGGGGGGGGGGCGGGCGACCTTTTGGGCTCCATGTGGCCTCTACAATTGCAGGAAATCGCGCAGCTTCGCCTCGCCCGCACGCGCGGCACGAACCGAAACCGAAACCGATTTTCCGGTTGGGGTCTCTTCCGTTCACACCCCCCAACCTCCGATTTTATTCTGTTTTGCTCTACTTTTTTTTATTCTTTTTGTACTCTATCTTTTTCCGCTCCCACCTGGGGAATGCGCAGCCACCACCTGGTCTTCAGGCCCATGATTGTATTGTACACTTGACCCGCTGGATTCGTTCGGTTTCGGCACTGGGCCCCGCCGCCGCTGGTACCCCGGCGCAGCAGCCGCCGCCTCCCCCGCCGGCGGGGCTGGCCGCGCCACCCGCTTCGGGCGTGACCCGTCCCCCTGAGCGGCCATAGCCCCTTCCCCCCTCCTTCGGCCGCCCTCCCTGTCTCCTCCAATTTTCTTGCACGGTGGCACAATTCGCTTCAACGGTGTCCCCAGTTCCCCGTTGTGATTGCTCTTCCGCCAGCGCAGTTGCTCTTCCCAGCCGCCGACGCAAAAAAATGTTTGGTTTTTCGTTATTTCGGGACGATCGAACTGGGTACGGAAAGAATGGGCACGATGCCCAACAGCCGTTCCTTTTAGTTTTGAACAGGACTCACTGTCCGCGCCGCCGCGGAGGTTGTTCACCGACGACAAAGAGGGCGCCTGCCCAATGGCGGCGGCTGTTGGTTTCGGACAACTTTTGGTGTTGGGCGTAGTACCCATTTTCCCGTACCAATGTCGGGCGTCGAGAATTTTATATAGAGCATTGCGCTCTCCAACCTTCCTCCCGCTTCCTGCCGCCTGGGAGGTCCAGCGGGGTGGGGACGCGCGACCTCCCTGTCGCCACTTTCGTGGGCTCTTAGGAGGTCGCGCGGAGTGGAGTTGCACGGGGACCCGGTTGAGACCTCGCGGTTCCCTGTGGGGCTGCGAAGCATGCAATTGTGTACTGCGAGTCGTTCGACATGTTTTATGTCGTGAGGGGTCCCATATATATATATATATATATATATATATATATATATATCCTCCGGGTACGCCGCCGGGTAATTTTACCCTCTGGCACGCGTCGGTCGTTACATGGGCTACCCTGGTAACGGTATCGGTCGTACGAAGGGGGGGGGAGTTTGGATCACCCCAGGATTTGGTGCCCGCGCGCATGTTCGGCGATCGCAGCGCGCCCCCACCCCGCCCAAGCGTTACTATTGTTACCTGGGGGCCCCACCCCCTTCCCCACCACAGAGTAGAGTAGCGAACGCTACCCGGAAATCATAAGACGCATGGTCTCCCCCGAAGGCGTGAGCCCGCGGCCCTCGTCTCCGCAGCCGGGAAACCACAGCCGCGACGTTTCGCCGCCCGCTCCAGGCGGGCGCCGCCGTCGCCGCCGCCGCCGTCGCCGTCGTCCCCAGGCTTTCCCCCATGCGCGACGAAGAATTCACGGGTCGTCTTCATTGACATTGGCGCGTAAGCTGCCCGTGTAACGCCGGGCGAAAGCTCCCGATTTTCCACGCGGTGTGCCGCGGTGGCAGCCCGTGTAAGCCACCGCGCAGGATCGTTCCGTCAGTTCGCATGCGACTCGTGATTTTTCGTCGCTCACGTTGGGGTCCGAGTACATGGAGTTGGAAGCTCGCGCCGCCTCTCCCGTGCCTCGCCGATGCGGCTCGATGTGGATGAAGCCCGACTTTCTCAACGCTGACGTCGCCGATGCATCGCCGATGCATCGCCGATGTATCGGCCATGCGGCGCGATCTTCCGACCCGATCTATTCGGACTCCCTTTGGAGGCCTCCATCGTCGCCTTCCATGAGATCCGGGCCTTGCCGTTTTCACGCATTGCCATTCGGTGGCAACTAGCACCCATACCTGTGCGACCCCCCCCAGTTGTCAGGGTGGAATTCCAGTGGGGGGCCATGGGCGTGTGCTGTCGGAGGTGGGTCCCCCGCTCGAGCGGGAGCCTCCCTCGTGGTCAGACAACTCGCACCCATACCTGTACCGCCTTCATCGCGTCGCTTTTCCCCCTTCTCCCTCCCTACCGGTTTGAGTGTGTGTTGTGCTTTGATCACGTCGGGCGTCCTCGTCCGGTTTCGGGCCCCGTGACCCTCACAGATCGATGCGGCTTGAAAAATGCCGCAGGTAGATGGGGCCCAGGGCTCCAATTACGATTTATCGAGATTTTTTTGTCGGATCGAAGGAGCCGTCGTCGGCTTCGTCGCCGCCGCCGTCGCCGTCCTCGCCTTTGTCGCCGCCGTCGTCTTCGACGTCGCCGCCGTCACCGTGGCCGTCGTCGTTGTCGTCGTTGCCGTCGTCGCCGTCGTCGCTGTTGTCGCTGCCGCCCGTTGCCGCCGCCGTCCTCGCTGTTGTCGCCACCCCCAACCTCGAGGATCGAGGGTCGAGGGTTGGTGTTTCTGTTTTTGCCCTCGGGATGCCTCTCGCTGCCACCGGTGGGCTCGCCTCGAAACTCGTGGCCGGAGCGCACCACTGCACTGGGAGGCCCAGGGGCTGGTTCGGCGGAGCGTGCCCGGACCGCAACCCTCTCCTCCGACGGCGCAGCTCTTTCGCACCGTGGGCCCCCGGTGATCTCGACCTACGCTCCAAAGGCAAGAGTTTCATCCCGAGTCGTGCTTTGATTCCCCAGGGGCCAGGAGACGGTCCCTGGAGGCCGAAAGAGTTGCGATGTTTCCCCGACGCCCGGACCTGAGGGCAAGGCGAATCTGCCCTTTCCATGTTCGGCCGCTGGGGGCCGCTTCTGGTCCCCAGGGGCCATCAAGAGACGGGACGAACAACCAGTCATTGGGAAGAGCTCGAGAGCGCATGTGTTGAAAACTCCACGCCCGCTCGGGGGTCTGGGATGGTCGCCGCCGCCAGAGTCGTCGTGGTGGCAAAGAATGCTCTCGTCGTCGTTGTCGCCGCCATTGCCATCGTCGTCGCCCTCACCTTTGTCCTCGCCCTCATCCTGCTCATCCCTCTCCTGCTACATCCCTCTTCTTTATAAAGAACTCCTCCCTGTCGCACCCCGAGACGTGTCGGTAGGGCGGGCTGGGCGTGTCGCTTGAGACGTCATCACTGCAACTCCAAATTTACAATGTTTTCACGGATGGAGGGCGGTCCGTTTTCAACATGCGGCTTTAGCCTCAGCGCCGTGCACATTTGTTTGGACAGTTCGCAACAGTTTCACGGATGGAGGGCGGTGCGTTTTCAAAATGTGGTGTGGCTCTTGCCTCAGTGCCGCGCGCATTCGTCTAACAATTTTGCAACTATTTCCAGGATGGAGGGCGGTTCATTTCCAAGAGGAAACTCTCGCCATAGCGCCACGCACATGTGTTTGAACAGTTCGCATCTGTTTGAAGGATGGAGGGCAGTTCTTTTTCAACATGTGGCTTTCGCTGTAGCGCACATTCGCCTAGCACATTTGCAACTTTTCAGGGACTCGTAAGGTTTAAGTCCCAGGAGTTGTGTTCTGGCACGATTCAAGATTGTCAGGGCGCAAGAGTCATGTTGATCTGCGGTGTTGCTGTCCTGGGACTGGTGCTCATGTACGCTTTAGGATTGTCAGGACGGAAGAGTCACATTGACTTTCGCCGTTGACTTCTCAGGAACTGTGTTTTGGCACGGTTCAGGATTCTTATACGGTTGCCTTCCAATGAAACCCTTCCCGCACCGAAAAGCAGGTGTTGTAGGAGGAGGAGGAGGAGGAGGAGGAGGAGGAGGAGGAGAGGGAGGGAGGAGGAGGAGGAGGGAGGAGGAGGAGGAGGAGGACGAGGAGGGACTCCCCCGCGAGGCCCCGGCGAGCGAGGCGGCGCCCCGGCGCCGGGGGCCGCCGGCACGCAGAGCGCCGCGGGCGGCTCGGTCATCGCCCAGGCCTTCGCGGCGCGGCCCCGCCGTCGGCCCGAAAACGAAACGACAGCCCTCCTCCTCCTCCCTCCTCCTCCTCCTCCGCCTCCTCCTCCTCCTCCTCCTCCCTCCTCCTCCTCCTCCTCCCTCCTCCTCCCTCCTCTCCTCCTCCTCCTCCTCCTCCTCCCCTCCTCCTCTCCTCCTCCCTCCTCCTCCTCCTCCTCCTCCTCCTCCTCCTTCTCCTCCTCCTCCTCGTCCCTCCTCCTCGTCCTCCTCCCTCCTCCTCCTCCTCCTCCTCTTCCTCCTCCTCCTCCTCCTCCTCCTCCTCCTCCTCTTCCTCCTCCTCCTCCTCCTCCTCCTTCCTCCTCCTCCTCCTCCTCTTCCTCCTTCTCCTCCTCCTCCTCGGGTCGCCTACAGCCCCGTGGGAAACCGTGCACCCCACCTGCGGCCCTCCATGTTGCGAAACGTAAGGGAGAGAATATTATGAATGACATAAACATAACTCCTCGGAGGTCCGCGCGGATTACTCGGATCCGCGCTGGACCCCCTTGGCGGCGCCTCCGGCGCTGCCCGTGGCCGAGAAATCTGCGCGGACCTCCGAGTTTTTATGCTCATGTCATCGTTCGTTCCCCTATTACGGCCCATCGGGGGCCGTAGCGTATGCCACGCAGAAGCCCAAGCCAGAGTCCATGGTATATGCTACGGCCCGCGGGGCCGCAGGTGCAGTGGTGCCGTTCGTTTTCTGGTCCGCGCCGCGCCGCAGCCACCCATACCTCTACCCTTTCCCCGTTTTCCACTTTTTGGGCCTCCTGGGAGGCCCTCGTCGCCACCGCTGGATTCGCCTCGAAATCCTCGTCAGAACGCATCCCCGGAGAGGTCCAGGGAGTAGCCGTATCGGTGCCTCTTGGTTCCCCCAACAGGGCGGGGGTTTGGGGCCCTCTCCTTGAGAGAGGCTTGTCGCGGGCCGCTCTTATGGTGGCCACGCGCACGAGGGGGTATGGGGGGGCAGGGAAGGCCTCTCGGAAGCACCCCTGCTTCTGAGAAGGCGCGGGCCTTCTCTACGGATGCAGGGCTGGTGCCCTCTAAGAAGCAGCCTCCTTCCAGGACGCCTTCCCCCCTCCCCCTAACCCCCTCTGCGCCCACCAGCGCCCAATAGCGCTGGTGGGCGCAGAGGGGTCGGGGGATAGTGGGTTATAACAACCAGGCTCAAATAGTGGTTGTTGCTATGCCAAAAACCAGGCTTTGTGAATGCCCATGTGAATTCCCAAAAAAGAGCATGCATGATTCTGTGATTTCAAAAAACGAATGCGGATTTTTGAACTCAAGAAACCAGTGAGTTGCTTTCTAGCGGGCCCGCCCCGCGTAGTGCGTAGTTGGCCCAGGGGAGCAGCGCGCTGGCCATGACCGAGATGTCGCGGAATCTTGTCGAAGCCCAGCTTGGTCAGGGAACCCGCCGGCCGTCGTCGAGTCGCGGGCTTATCCACGCATGGACGGTGACCAAGATCGACGGTGGCCAGGATCGACACCACCGACATTTCCGCGTGGTTGTGTTGTTTTGCTTTGTGAAGGCGTATGGGAGTCCATACCTGGACGCGCAACAATTTGCGTAAGCATAGACTTTCAAGGGTCCGCACGGATTTTTCGGATCTGCGCTACGTGAGCCTCCTTAGCGGCGCCTCTGGCGCGCTCCGCGCGCCATGGAGCGGTTTCCAGCACGGATCTACGAAATCTGTGCGGGCCCTAAAACTCATGTTTGTGCAGACTTTCTGTCTTCTGTTGCCAGGCCCAGGTGCCGTAACAGAAACGATCCTCGGGGGGTCCACGCTGTGGAAGCATCACGAGGTCGGGGGTCTGGGAGCGCGAGCGGTCAGGAGACAGGGAACCCTGACTCGACCAGAAAGGAGAGAGTCCCCAAGGGTTCGCTGGGGATTTCCCCCATCGGGGGAGATCCCAAGCCGAGCCTGGATCGCCCCCTCTTCCTTGGCCTCGTTAGGGCTTCCTTCCTCCTCAGGCTGCGAGAGGGGGGACGCGGAGGAGGGAGGTCTAGTGGACGTGTCTTGCCTTGTCGGACTTTCGCGGGGGAGTCACGTGGCCGTGCCCGGATCCGCGTCGAGATTACGACCAAGACAGGTCCTGAAGAGGTCCAGAGGCCGATATTCGAGCGGAGGAGGAGGGAGACGAGGATCCAGGCCTCCCCGGTAGGGTCGGAGTAGATGGGGTCGGCCAGTCGTGCAGCGTCGCCCATTCATCGGTGATGCGGCGCGATTTGGAGCCCGATTTGTTCCGTCCCGACGTCGTTGGTGCATCGGAAATGTATCGGCGATGCGGTGCGATCCTCCGACCCCATCTGCTCCGGCCCCATGTGGAGAAGGCCCCCAGAGGGGGCGGCTTGGATGGACTCGTCGGAAGAGGGATCGATCAGCGACAGCCAACTCCCTAACGCAAGGTCTCGTTCCGCGCCGCACGGGCTGGGTGGGGGGCAGGGGCAGGGGCAGAAGATGGGCAGAAGACGCAAGAAAAGGGGGATAGTCATGCTGATGATGCTGACGATTATGATGGTGATAGTAATGATTCGTGATGATTGCGATGGCGATGGCGATAGTGATGATGCTGAGGACGACGATGCTGATGACAAGAGTGATGACAATGCTGGTGATGATGATGGTGTTGCTGCTGTTGTTGCTGATGTTGATTCTGTTTCAACTGTGAAGAATGATGATGATGATGACGATGATGACGATGATGATGATGCTGATGACCATGCTAATGACGATAATGATGGTGATGATGATGACCATGCTGATGATTCTGCTGGTGATGATGATGAGTGGTGACGGTGATGGTGATGCCGATGGCGGCGATGGCGATGATTATGATGATGGTGATGATGGTGATGATGATGATGATGATGGTGCTGAGGATGACGATGAAGATGCGGCTGATTATTTAGCTGAGGGCGGTCATGTTGATGATATTAATGATTATGCTTATGATGAGGATGCTGCTGTTGCTGATGATGATGCTTATAGCACGATGAGGAGGACGATGGTGAAACTACTCGCAATGACGATGCTGATGACGATGATGATGATGCTGCTGATGATGATGATGATGATGATGATGATGACGATGCTAAGGATTCTGATGCAAGTGCAGTTGATTATGCTGATGATGATGACGGTACTGGTAACGACGATGACGGTATGCTTCTGATGATGATGAATAGTATTACGATGGCGATGACGATGCTGCTGCTGCTGCTGCTGCTGCTGATGATGATGATGATGATGATGATGCTGATGATGATGATGATGATGATGATGATGATGATGATGATGATGATGATGATGATGAATACGCTCGTCAATACGAAGTCGCGTATCATGCTGTTGCTGTCGGTGGTGATTGCCATGATGACGACGATGGTGCGATGATGATGACGACGACCACGATGACGATGCTGCTGCTGCTGCTGCTGATGATGATGATGATGATGAGGAGGAGGAGGAGGAGGGGGAGGAGGAGGAGGAGGAGGAGGAGGAGGAGGAGGAGGATGGAGATGCTCGTCAATACGGGGGGGACTGCAGGACCAGTGTGTGTCGGGGGTCGCAGGGAGACCACCCGCGGCGCGCCCAAGGGGCAAGCCCCCGTGCGCGAAACGGCCAAGGTCCCCCCCCTCCCTCCCCCCCGTCACCTCCCCCCTCCCCCGTCGTTCTCCCCTCCCCTTTTTCCCCCAGCCCCTGCTTCCCCCGGGGGGGCCAAGTCTGTCTCCCTTTCTGTGCTCTGGGGTGGCCCCGTTCCCCCCCTCTTTCCCGCCTCCGTTCGTTCGGCGCGGGTCCGTGCGTTCGGGCCTCCCTCGTCCTGCTCCTTCGGGCCCCCCTCGTCCTGCTCGTTCTCCCTCGTCCCTCGCTTGTCCCGCTCGTCGGTGCGGAGCTCGGCCCGTCTTCGGAGTGGCCCCGCCTGGCGCGCCCGACGGCGCCGCCACGCGGGGGCGATGGCAACGTCGGACGACTTTTCTGTCGTCAGGGTCTCGTGGTCTCAGGAGGGGAGGAGGAGGAGGAGGAGGAGGAGGAGGAGGAGGAGGAGGAGGAGGAGGAGGGTGATAAGGAGGAGGAGGAGGAGGAGGAGGAGGAGGAGGAGAGGACCATGCGACGTATCTGGAAAGCTCCAGGGGACCAGGCGGGTGGTCAAATCATGACCACTTTCACGTACGCGTCGTGGGCTATTTCCAAACCAGCCATCTGCACAACCTGACATGAGCCCCTTCCAGAGTGAAGCGAGAACACCATATTCCGCGCTCCACGACAATTGGCACCATCTTCGCCGGCAACACAGTCGCGAGCAAGAGCGCATTCTCAGCATGACCCCCCTGACCTGGAGAGGTGTGCCTGAGAATTGCGGTCGGAAGCTTTTGCCAAGCGTGTCGCGGCTGCGGCCCCTGCGACACTATATCCTTTGCAAGCTGGTAGCGTGTCGCTCAACTCCGCGGAGGGGAAGCTCGGAAAAGGCTCGGCACGTCCACTCTTGGAGGCTGAGACGTGGATAGCTTTTCGCGCCGAAGCGAGATGGGCCAGAGCCGCCTGCGCGACACGCTAAGCCAAAGTGTGAGATCCCAGAGCTCGTGGAGGCACCGTTGGCTACTGGTTGTGATGATTGTTTGCCCAACAGAACACTTTGATTTCAAACCAGCGGGAAACAAGGAGTCCTGGTCCTCCCGCCAGGTAGCCGCGCTCCTCACGCCGCATTCGAAGGCGATGAGCCGCGAGTCGTCGATGTCGCAGGCCCTCAATAAGCTCCGCGGGACCGTTTACGCCGTGATCTTCAGTGGGGGCCTCGGTGCCGCCTGCATCAGCACGTTGGGAGGGATTCCTCCTCTTTCCAGGTGCATCCTGCCCCCGGTTCCCCGTCATCCCCTCCCTTCTCCTTCTCCCCCTTCCCCGCCTCCTCCTCCTCCTCCTCCTCCTCCTCCTCCTCCTCCTCCTCAGGGGGCCCCATGCGAACCCTACCCCTACCCCCCACGATTGCTGAGGGGGAGGGTGGGGTTCACTTTGCTCGGGAGCTCCCGGACGAAGTGAACCCCACCCTCCCACTCAGAAAGGGTAGGGTTCGCTTGTGGCCCCCTCCTCCTCCTCCTCCTCCTCCTCCTCCTCTTCCTCCTCCTCCTCCTTCTCCTCCTCCTCCTCCTGCTCCTACGCCTCGTTTTCTGCCCCACTGCCTGCCTGCATGGCTGCCTTCTGGCTGCCTGCATCCTGTCTGCCTACCTCCTTCCCCTCCCTCCTCCCTCCTTTTTCTCCTCCTTTTTCTCCTCCTCCCTCCTCCTCCTCCTCCTTCTCCCCCCCCTCCTCCTCCTCCGCCTCTCCTCCTCCGCCTCCTCCTCCTCCTCCTCCTCCTCGTCCTCGTCCTCGTCCTCGTCCTCCTCCTCCTCCTCCTCCTCCTCCGCCTCCTCCTTCTCCTCCTCCTTCTCCTCCGCCTCTCCTCCTCCTCCTCCTCCTCCTCCTCCTCCTCCTCCTCCGCCGCTCCCCTCGTCCCCGTTCCGTCCTTCCGCTCCTTCCTATAGGGTGCCGGCGGCGCCCCTGCCCCGCGGCCTGCGCCTGGAGAGGACCGAACCTCCACCTCTGGTGATCGTTCTTTTGGCTATTGTTTTGCCGATCGGCGCGGGCCCCCTCCCTCCCCCTCCCACTGAGTAGATTTATGTCGGGCGTGTCCCCTTACAGGGGGATTTTCGATGAAAAATTAAAAAATACCCCCAAGGTGCCCAAGAAGGTCCACAAATACCCCAAACATAGTCCCCAGACTATTTTTGGATTATTTTTTGATTATTTTTGGGGTATTTTTTATTTTTCGTCGAAAATCCTCCTGCAGGGGGACAGGCCCGACTCAAGAGTAGATCTTGGCTGTTTTTCGGAGCCTGTTTCGAGCGGGTGGAGTCTCCCCCGGAGCCCGCACCCTTGCAAACGGTCGCACTAAGCAGAGGTCCGGAGCCAGACGCTGCCCCCTCCCCCCCCCTTGCCGCCCAATGTCGAAACGTCGAATAGAAAAAACGCTCACTTGCGTCGGGGAAACGTAAGACTCGAGTAAGCCTGAACTTGGGTTTGCCGACGCTTTTTGACGAACGCGTCCTGGATTTTGACGGCAGCGGGAGTTCGCGTCAACTTTCAGATTGGGTCTCGCCCTTTTTATGGTGCCCCCGTCAGGCCACCCGAGTCCCCCGTACCCGAGTCTTGCGCCTCCCCGATTGCGGCGCGGACTCCAGCCCCCCCCCGCCAACAGCACCGTCACTTCTGGACGCAGGCTGTCGCGTGCCATTCGCCTCCTCCTCCTCCTCCTCCTCCTCCTCCTCCTCCTCCTCATCATCATCATCATCATCATCATCATCTTTCCTCCTCCTCCTCCTCCTCCTCCTCCTCCTCCTCCCTCCTCCCCCCAGCCTTCCGTCGAGAACATGCCGCCGCCCTCTCCAGCCGCGGGCTCCCAGGAGACCAGGTGGGGCTCTTCCTCTTCCTGTCGGCCTCCCGCTGGCCCTACCTGTCACCACCCACCAAACCACCCCAACCCAACCCGAAGGCCCCAATTTATCCTCGATTTCCAGTGGGGGGGGGTCTTGGAACATCGAGAAAACACATATGGAACCCGTACCCCCCCCAACCCGAAATTCGGGTCTTCAGGTTGGGTTGGGGTGGTCTGGTAGGTAGTCAACCTGGCGCGCGAAAGGCTGCTGGGCAATCCGCGTTATGGCGGTCCCCGGAAGCCCTAACATGATCGCGTCAGGAGGAAATCTGGGCGGGAGGCGTTTGGCAAATTTCGGCCTCGGGGGGCCCTCGCTGGGCCTCGGGGCCGTCAAAAGACGACCCGGGTAACGAAAACACGTCCAGGTGAAAGCGTCGGGACATCGAGGGGCCCCCAATCGAAAAATCAAAACGTCGCATGTCTGGGTCGGAAGCGCCCCTGCTTCGCAGAAGGCGCGGACTACCCAGCAGCCTCTGAATAACTACCTGCTGAACCACAACCCAAACCGAATATCCAAATTTCGGGTTGGGGGCCGTCAGGGATCCATCTATGTTTATCCGATGCTCTTGGATACTCCCCCACTGGGCATGGAGGGCAACTTGGGGCCTTCGGGTTGGGTTGGGGTGGCGTGGTGGGGGGCATGTTTTGCTTTCGCCAGCGTTCGCCAGCCTTCCGCCGCCTTCCGCCAGCGGAAGCGCCCTCGTTTCACTTCCATCAGCTTCCGCCAGCCCTCCACTGCCTTCTGCCGAAGAAGCGATGCCAACCTCCCGATGCCTCGAAGACGAAGCCCTCTCTAGAACGCCCCAGGTGGCTCGCGGATGCTCTGGGCGCCCGTGCCCGAGCTGAGGGTGTCAGCAAGCACCGCGCTGCGGCGAGCGCACGAGCGGAATGGTGGCGCCAGAGCAAGGGGGCCAGTAGGGAAAATGGGGAAGTCGGCTCACTCACATGATGTCACAATCACATATACAGTAGGGGCCCGACCACAAGAGACCTTCCACAAGAAACCCAACCCTGAGACGCCAAGACGTCCATCGATGTTTGGTGTGGGAACGTCACGCTGTCCATAGCAAAACCCTCGAAACCCAAGAAACCCAGGGCACCCTGGAGGCAAGCAGGGTGCTTCTTGATATGGGCCCCCACTGTATTCTGTCCAACGCAGCGTCGAGCGCCACAAAGGGCGGGCCTTCGATATCCGCCGCTGTTTGCTCCCTGGCACGCTGGATGTGTGGTCGACTGCCGAGGGCCGCCCGGTAGGGCTCGTGTACTCTTCTGCGGGGCGACCCCCCCCGCTCTCTGCTCACTCTCGCGCGCGCGCGCTTCGCGCCCCCCTTCCCTCATAAAAAAACCTGTGGGCCCGCGCCCCCGAGACCACGTACCCTCGCCAAAAGACTACAGATACGAGTTCGAGTTCCCCGAGGTCACGACCCCTCGTAGAAGCTGAATGAGACCGCATTCCCGAAGCCACACCCCCTCGTCTTGAGCGTGCGCTCCCGAGGCCACGATCCCGTGCAAAAACTACCCGAGGCGTGCCCAACCCCTTCTCCACGCGAGGCGGATGTTTGCCGGATCGCTCCGTACGAAAGAGGACATCGCCAGACATGCACGATCTGCGCTGCCCTCACCTCCGCCGTTCCTCCCAGGAGCCCACGGAGGTGGCAACAACTGCGCAGTTCGCAGCACCCCAGGGAGCTGCGAGGTCTCAGCCGCGTCCGTTCAAACTCCCCGATTCCGCCGTGCCTCGTAGGAGCCCACGAAACTGGTGACGGTTGCGCAGTTCGCAACCCCCCAGGGAGCTGCGAGGTCTCAATGGGTTCGTTTACTCTCCGACTTCGCCGAGCCTCCCAGGAGCCCACGAAAGCGGCGACTGTGGCGCAATTCGCAGCCCCCCCAGGGCGATGTGAGGCCTCGGGTGTGTCCGCGTACTCCCCTCCTCCCTCGTGCCTCCCAGGAGCCCACGAAAGCGGCGACAACTGCGCAGCTCGCAGCCCCCCCGGGAGCTGCGAGGTCTCAAATGCGTACGTTTACTCCCCGACGCCGCCGTGCCTCCCAGGAGCCCACGAAAGTGGCGACAATTGCGCAGTTCGCAGCCACCCTGGGAGCATCGCAGCAGAAGGCAGGAGGATGGGGGCGGTGAAGGAGAGGACGCAGGTGTGCGACCGCATGGCTCTATCCCAAACGAGAACCCAACACCGGAGGGTTGGGAACAAATCGGCCCGCGGCAGACAAAGCTGCCTGGGCAGACAATCAAGATGGCCGAGGCAGATAACCAAGGCCGCGATGTGTGTAAACATATACCTACACATATACATTTACATGTACGTGTACATGTATATGTGCACATACATGCACATGCATACACTTGCATATGCGTATGCATACACATATACAGGTACCTATGTATATATATATACACATTCACATATACATACCTGCGTATACATATGCATATGCACATGCACACAGACAAACACGTATACATAGACATGTGCACATGCATATACCTATATACATACACATATACACATATACATACACATATACAACTGCTACCCCCCCTTAGGGACCTACCGTTTTTGTTTGTTTCTGGTTGTCGCACCGTAAACCCGCCGCTGCTGAGATCCCGATGGCAGCCGAACAGGATTCTAAACATATTCCAATATGATTTCAACAGGTTCGATGAGCTGGATATGCCTTTTAGGCTTGATCGGAATAACACTATGACCCACATCGGAACGGAGCATCGGTCAGAGCCAAATGGTTATTATCGAGCCCGAAGAACACCCCAACGAGACTTTCATGAGAAACCCCGTGATGACGTGATGCCGTGTTCATGACAATGTAGCACAGAATATGCAATGGCGCGGTGGCGGTGACATGATTGGTTCGCAAGCAGTGCGCCCCGTCTGGGTTCCAGACATCATTGGTATTCGTTTTGAACTGCCTACCGATATCCGTAGGAGCACGCAACGGAAAGCATCCATGGCAGAATCCCCACACAGTGCAGGCGCACTAACCCAAGCCGGTCCCACACGTCTGCCGCGGCAGACTATGCATATTGTACATTGCGCTAAATATGTTGCATTATGCGCACCGAATTGGCTCAATGGTCGTCGTCATTGTGCCAACATAGAACCCCCGCGTAATGGGTCGCACTGCCCCTGTCTAACCCAGAACGCCCGCCGCGGGCCGATCACGCCACCAGCACGTCGCGCATGATGTGCTGCACCATCTCCCCCGTCTTGGCCCACATGTCGTCGTCCTTGTGCCAGTAGTCGTACTGGGCCGAGCGGATCTTCGTGGCGAGCAGCTTGGTGCCTGCCTTGGCGGTGGCGCTCCTGTGCAGGCGGTCCTTGATGAAGCGCCACGCACGGTCAATGATCTGGGTGCCGCTCTTGACTTTGAGGTGCTTGCCCGATGTGAGTACGTGCGTCTGCAGCTCGACGTACCTGGAAGGAATCAGCACCCTCTTGCCGCCGATTTTCTTGTACTTCTTCTGGTGGACAACGAAGTCGTGGATGACACCTGGCACGCGTAATTTGTAGGAACGCGCCGAGTCAGTGTGAAAGAGGACGTCGCGGTCTTTCAGCCAGCGCTCCGCCAGGGGTTTCCACTCTACCTTGCGCACGGCCCCAGGGCCAGGCGCCCGCTTCTCCGCCATCTCGGGGCACAGTCTCGTAAGTGTCAGCGTGCGCGGCCTGCCGCGCTGCACAATGCCCAACCACTGCTCCCACATGACGGGGTGAGTTGGGTCTCCCAGAGGCTCGGGCCCGTCGGTCATGTCCAGCTTGTCGAAGGTCGCCTCGTCAGCCTCCACGTCTGCCCACACCTTCGACCCACTATATTCAATGGTCGGCTCCACGTCCTCCACGTACATCCTCCGCGCCTGTTCAACGTTACTCCAGATCCGCTCCACTGCCTTGTGGTTGACGCCGAACATGACGTGGGCGTTCGCGTGGGAGGTCCCCGCGAGCTTCGCCAGTAGAAGCACTGCCTGCTTCTGCAAGCTCTCGGCGCGCGAGTGCCCTTCTGCTCTTCTCCCCTACTGCTAAGAGCAAGGGCGTTACGCCCTGCTGTGGCTCCTCCCCTATCATCCTCATCCTAAACAGGCATTGCGCCTTTGACTACACCCTGGGTATTACACCCGTTTGAAGAGCATTGCGCTCTGATCTATTTGAGTATTACACTCCAAAGTAGTGCGCCCTGCTGGTTATCCTCCTGTCGTAGCCTCTCCTCCATCAGCCCGCGCGCGGGTGGCCTGCCTGTGGGCGGTGGCGGGCGGGGGTGGGGGGATCCTCCTCCTCCTTATCCTCCTGCTCCTCCTCCTCCTTCTCTTCCTCCTCCGCCTCCTGGTCGTCACTCCCATACCATAACTAAAGAGGAGGCTCCCGCCTGATAGATCCCAACAATAACTGAAGAGGAGGCTCCCGCCTGAGAGATTCTCCAAACAACTCTCTGATGAGGAGGCTCCCGCCAGAGAGGTTACTACGGCGAGGGCATTGGATAAGGAATCATTGGGCAAGAAATCCAGGGTTTGGAAGCCGGCGGAGCTCCAATTGTGGATGGGCCGTGGATGTCGCCACCGCCCTCATCGGATGAGGGATCCCCCAAGGTCTGATGCCTCCTGAGCACATTCCTTAACCAACGCCCCCGACGAAATCACAGTCTCTGAGGGGGCAACTTCGCCTGAAAGGTCCAACAAAAATAACAAAATGCTCCTCCTTGTCCTCCTCCATCCTCTCGATTGGACTTCGTCCTGGGACTCCTGACTCCTGACTCCTCCTCCCTCTCTCTCCTTCTCCTCCTCCTCCTGCTGCTGCTCCTCCTCCTTCACATAATGATCGTAACTCTCCTCATCATCATCGTCAACATCATCGTCATAATCATCATAATCATCATCATGTTCGTAATCCTCATCATCATCACCATCGTCATCATCACCATCACCAACATCAGCATCATCATCATCAACACAATCAGCATCACCATATTCATCAGCAACATCAGCATCATCAGCAGTACCATCTTCATATTCATCTTCTCCGTCATCATCACCATAATGTTCGTCATCCTCGTCTTCGCCATGTCCATGCTCCCGCCTGAGAGGTCCCCAACAAACGTCAGGATGAAGAGGCTCCCGCTTGAGAGGTCCCAAAAAACGCGAGGAGGAAGAGGCTCCCGCCTGAGAGGTCCCAAAACAACGTGAGGAGGAAGAGGCTACCGCCTGAGAGGTCCCAAAAAAAACGCGCAGAGGAAGATGCTCCCGCCTGAGAGGTCAAAAACAACTGTCCTGGGAGGAGGCTACCGCCTGAGAGGTCCCAAAAAAACAAACAAACAAGAGGAGGCTCCCGCCTGAGAGGCCCCCCCCCCAAACCCAAAGAAACCCAAACACCATGCCCCTCATCCCTGTAACTGTCCCCAAAAAACACAAAAAAACAAAATTCCAGAGGAGATGGCGGCCCTCGTCAATGCATCTGGGGCAGCGACGTCCGTTCTCCCCTGGAACTTTGGGTTTTTTTGTCTGTTGGGGACAGTTACAAGGATGAGAGGCATGGTGTTTGGGTTTCTTTGGGTTTTTTGGGGGCCTCTCAGGCGGGAGCCTCCTCCTGTTTTTTTTTTGGGGGGGGGGACCTCTCAGGCGGAAGCCTCCTCCCAAGAGAGTTTTTTGGGGACCTCTCAGGCGGGAGCCTCCATTTGACTCTGTTTTTTGGGACCTCTCAGGCGGGAGCCTCTTCCTCTTCACGTTTCTTTGGGACCTCTCAGGCGGGAGCCTCTTCCTCTTCGCGTTTTTTTGGGACCTCCCAGGCGGGAGCCTCTTCCTCCTCACGTCTTTTTGGGACCTCTCAGGCGTGAGCCTCTTCCTCTGCGCGTTTTTTGGGGACCTCTCAGGCGGTAGCCTCTTCCTCTTCACGTTTTTTTGGGGACCTCTCAGGCGGGAGCCTCTTCCTCCTCGCGTTTTTTTGGGACCTCTCAGGCGAGAGCCGAGTCCTCTCACGCTTCTTCTCCCCATCCTCCTCCTCCTCTTCCTCCGCCTCCTCCTCATCAACTTCCTTTTGTGTCTACGTCTTCGCATGCATGGACGACAAAGGAAGCGCAAAGAAGGAATGCGACGATAGTGAGGTAGGTCCCCAAGGAGGGGTACCATACAACTATATGCACACATACATCTGCGTATCCACATACATATACATACGCATAATATACATACACATGAGCATACTATGTACACATACATATACATGTGCATGTCCATGTCCATGTGCATATACCTATTCATATACACATGCAAATACATAGACGTACGCATCACTATATACATATGCATGCACATATACATGCACACGTAACGGCTCTCCTCTTTCTCCTCCTCCTACTCTTCCACCTCCTCCTCCTCCTCCTCCTCCTCCTCCTCCCACTCCTCCTCCTCCCCCTCCTCCTCCTCCTCCTCGTCCTCCTCCTCCTCCGCCTCCTCGTCGCCAGCATTATCTCCGCCGTCATCGCCCTCGTTCCCTCACAGTCAACCCCCCCCCGTCGACCACGGTCCTCGCCAACATCAGGTCCATGAGGGCCCCTCGAGACGTGAATACGGAAGGTGTCACACGTGATTGCTTTCATCTTCATCCACATCCTCCTTCCCATACCACTCTCATGTGACTCGCCCCTCTCGTCCACCGCGATCCTCCTCCTTCACCTCCTCCTCCTCTCCCTCTTCATCTTCTCATCGCCATCATCGTCGTCATCGCCGCGTTGGTCGCCACAGTTGGCTGCTCGACCGTCCACGCCAACCAGCGGGGAAGAAGGGCAGAGGTAGATGCAAGGGGAGTACGATATGGAGGGGGATGGAGATGAACACTGGGCAGCCAACCGTCCATGTCACTGCGATCTCTGATATGCGCGCTTCGGAGTCTGGATTCTGGCTGGGGTACAACTGGAGCTTCCGCGGAACACTGTCTATTCGACACGTTCCCAGAATCCCAAGATTATTCCAGCACCTGGGGAGCACAGCCGACACGCGCATGGGATCTGGAACGTCCCAAACGTCTGGGCAAGAAGAGGGACAGTAGCAAATGTGCACCCCTTGGGCGCTGCGGGGGTGTGTATTCGCTCGTGCACGAACTTGTCTCGTGTTGCACGCGCAATTGCGCACTTGCGTGCTTATTGTAATGTAGATTGTGATGTTCGCATGTGCAGGGCATGTTTGCTATGTGTGGATCCCAGTTGCTGCAAGGACACTATGTGCTAGCTCCGCATGTCCGAATCCTTCACAAGCGGGTGAAGGAACCACGCGAAACTGCCAACATGCAATAACGACATCCTGTCGGCAGGAGCTTATGTAACCAACATCGCGAGACAGAGCAGAGATCGGCCATTGTCCCGAAATGGTGCCGCACATTACTATCTGACGCATAACGAGCTCGTTTTCATCGAGCCTAGCAAGTTTCAGCCCATCTGTACGGCATCTCAGTTGGTCGGGACCCCAGGATGGAGGAATGACCAATCAGCCATCCTTCCGAACCCCGCTTGCTGAGGGGATGACTTTTGATGGCGTGCGTTCTGACACCCACGGCCCCTGGGTGAGAGGGACATAAGGTTTCATGTTTCGTGGCAGCCCCTGCCAGCGTCTCAATGTTCGCCTGCATGCCGATCCCGCGGGGCAGCCACATGAATGCCAGGCCAGGGCCTGGAGTGCGTGAGCCAGGATGTTACCAGGAGGCCAGATACACGTGATGTGGCCGACCTGGAGGAGAGCCGGATACACGCACACGTGGCCAGATGGCCTTCCAGCGTTCTGCCGTCCTGAGGCCGGGTACGCCGGGCTCCCGCACGTGTGGCCAGCGCGTGGCCCTCGGTTGTTCCATGTGTGAATCCAGCCATGCGTGTGCTGCCGTGTCCCTGTGCACGAGCAGTGGTCCGAGGCCGGGATTGGTCCATGACCACCGCTCGGGGGATCGATCCTCGCGGAGCTCCACGGGCGGTGGATCTGGATAGGTGCTGGCCCCCTGGGGGCCGCAAGCTATCCATGTCCACCGCCCGCTGGGGCGCCAGGGCGTCGGTTCCCAGGCGGTGGACATGGATCCACTCCCGCCTCGCAGTTGGCGTATCCTCGTGTCGGGCCGTGGCAGGTGCGCTCGTCCTCACGTCTCGCCCTCCGCGGAGGCGTGCCTCTCCGGGCGCCTGCCGCCGGCTGGCCCGGCGGCGTGCCAGCGCGCGTGCCTCTCCCCGGCGGCCCGCCAGGTCGCATCTGTGATAGACTTGAGAGTGATGCAGAAGAGGAGCCAATCTCCTCCGCGCCATGCCTATCGAGTCAGGATACATACATACATACATCTATATATCCATATATATATACATACATATCTGTCAATCTATCTATACATGCATGGATATTCTATATAATGAGATGTAGGTGTGCACAAGTATATCTGTACAGCAAGGTGATTCGGTACGTCTGTCTTTCTGCCTGGCTGTCTGTCTGTCCGTCTGCATGCATGCATGTATGCATTTATGTATGTATGCATGTATGTGTATGTATGGGTGTATGCGTGTATCAATGCAGGTGTTTCTGACATGCATGCCAGCATACATGCATGCATGCATGGATGCATGTGTGTATGTATGTACGTGTGTATGCACATGTATTTACACATAGTTGTTTGTATGCATGTGTGCATGCACGTATGTACGAATGCACTTATGTGTGTGTGTGTATGTGGATATGTATGTGTGTATGTATGCATGTATGTATGTATGCATACACACATGTATGTATACATGAATGTCTATATGCATGCATGTAGGCATACGTGTACGCATATATGTATGCACGCATGTATATAGCCACGTATGTATGTATGTATGTATGGACGTATGTATATATGTATGTATGAATGTATGTATATGTATGTATGTATGTATGCATCCATGTATGTATGTATCTATATATGTATGTATGTATGTATGTATGAATGAATGTATGTATGTATGTATGTATGTACGTATTAATGTATACATGTATGTACGTATGCGTGTATACATGCATGCATTCATGCATGTATGTATGTATGTATGTATGTATGTATGTATGTATCTATGTATGCATGTATGTATGTTTGCATGCATGCATGCATGCATGCATGCATGCATGTATGTATGTATGTATGCATGTATGTATGCATGTATGTGTGTATGTAACTATGCATGTATATGTATGTATGTATGCAGGCATGCATGCATGTTTGCGCGTATGTATGTATGTATGTATGTATGTATGTATGTATGTATGCCTGTATGTATGCATGTATGTATATGTATATGTATATGTATGTATTTGTTATGTACAACTGCATACACTTATGCATCTATGCTTGCATGCATGCACTTATGCATGCACGCATTGATGTATGTCTGTGTGTATGTATGAAAGAGCGCGTTCGGTGGTCGCTTGGAGGGGGGTGGAACCGGACCCCCCCCACCCCATGGATGAGGGGTGGGGGGGTTCGAATCCCCCCCCCCCCTTCCCGTGGCGGAGGGGGGGTTCGAACCTCCCCCCCCCGCCCCCCCCTCCCTCCCTCTCCTCTCTTCTCGGGCCGGCGCCTGCGGCGGCGGTTGGCGGCGGCGGGGAGCGTCGACGAGGAAGACGGTGGTGGTGGTGGTGGTTGTGGTGGTTGTGGTGGTGGTGGTGGCGGTGGTGGTGTGGTTGTGGTGGTGGTGGTGGTGGTGGTGTGGTGGTTTGTTGTAGTGATGGTGGTTGTGGTGGTGGTGGGTGGTGGTGGTGGTGGTGTTGGTTTGGTGGTGGTGTGGTGGTAGTTTGTTGTGGTGACGGTGGTGGTGGGTTGTGGTGATGGTGCTGGTTTGGTGGTGATGTGGTGGTGGTTTGTGGTGGTGGAAGTGGTGGGTTGTGGTGGTGGCGGTGGTTTGTGGAGGTGGTGCTGTTGGTGGTGGTGGCGGTGGTGGTGGTGGTGTGGTGGTTTGTGGTGGTGTTGGTGGGTTGTGCTTCTGGTAGTGGTGGTGGTTCTGGTGGTGGTGGTGGTGGTGGTGGTGGTGTTGTGGATTGTGGTGATGGTGGTAGTGGTGGTGGGTTTTTCTGGTGGTGGTGGTGATGGTGAGCTGTGGTGGTGGTGGTTGTGCTGGTGGTGGTGGTGGCTGTGGTGGTGTTGTGTGGTGGGTTGGTGGTGGTGGTGGTGGTGGGTTGAGGCGGTGGTGGTGATGGTAGTGGTGGTGGTGGCAGTGGTGGTAATCGTCGCTGCGTCCCCGCCGTCGCTGGCGCGAGCGCCCGCGCTGCTGGCCGTCGCCAGCGCCGGCGCTGGCGTCGGCGCAAGGGGGGGGGGGGGGTTTGGACCCCCCCCCGCTGAGCTGCTTCTGGTCATCGTCGCTGTGTCCCCGCCGTCGGCGCTGCTGGCGGCCGCCAGCGCCGGCGCCTGCGCCGGCGCCAGGGGGGGGGGGGGTCGGGAGGGCGGGGGTTTGGGGAGGAGGGGGGTCCCCTTGGTTTGATCGACAGCGCCGAGTGTTGGGGGGGGGCCGCCCCCCCGGCTCGAAACGCGCCGCCGAATGTTCCGAAGGCAAGCGCCCGTGAAACGCGCTCTCTCGTATGTATACATGCCGACACGTATGTATGTGTTCATGCATGTATGCAGGTAAGTATGTATCAGCGTATGCATGGATGTATCCATGTACGGATGCATGTATGTATGTGCGAATCCATGTATGCATGCATGCATGTATATACGTGTATGTGTGTACGTCTGTCTGCCTGCCTGCCTGCTTGTCTGTCTGCCTGTCTGTCTGCCTGTCTGTATTTGTGTATGCATGCATGTATATATGTATGTAAGTAAGTAAGTAAGTATGTGTATGTATGTATGTATGTATGTATGTATGTACGTACGTACGTATGTATGTATGTATGTATGTATGTATGTGTGTATGTATGTATGTATGTATGTGTGTATGTATGTGTGTGTATGTGTGTGTATGTGTGTATGTGTGTGAATGTATGCATGTGTGTGTGTGCATGCCTGCAGCATGCATGCATGCATGCATGCATGCATGCATACATGCGTTCGCTTGCGTACGTATGTATGTGTGCGTATGTATGTATGTGTGTCTGTGTGTATGCATACATGTTTGTCGGACTGTCTGTCTGTCTGTCTATATGTCTGTCTGTCTGTCTGTCTGTCTGTCTGTCTGTCTGTCTGTCTGTCTGTGTGTCTGCCTGTTTGTCTCTGTGTCTGTCTGTGTGTCTGTCTGTCTGCCTGTCTGTCTGTCTGTATGTGTGTGTTTGTATATATATACACATACATGTGCGTATGTATGCATGCATGTATGTCTGTATGCATGTATGTATGTATGTATGTGTATGTATGCCTGTATTTATGTTTGTATGCATGTGTGTGTAGGGCTGTATGTACACCGATATGTGCAGATGTCGGAGTAGGCCAGTGCCGCTGCCAAGGTGTGGCATGGAGGGGGCCCTTGGGGGCCTTGTGCGGCTCTGAGGGCTCCCTGACGGCTGCATACCCCCTCCCAAATGAGACCCGGCACGCCACAGGGGCCCTAAAGGAGGCCACGGGCCTCAAGACGCTCAGAGCGCGCCCACCATTGCTTCGAGGCAGCCCACCAGGCCTCCAAGACCCCCCAAGAGGGCTTCAAACTGCTCTTTGTGAGACTTTCAATAAGGTGAAATGATTGGTTCTTTTTTTGTTGCAGATTTTCCAACGTTTCCCGGGGCCCCGAGACTGCTCAAGAAGCTTTCCAGATCGCTCAACGATTGCCCAAGAGGCGCCCAAGAAGGCCCAGACACACCCCAAGAGCGCCCGAACACGGTCCAAGAGTAGCCGTCCGTAGCAATTGTGGCCAAAGGTAGATCTCAAAGCCTTTCTTTCAAGCTGGATCGCGACCAGCCTCCTCTGAGACAATGCAGACTTTGACGATCTTCGTCGCCCTCTTGAGCATGTCCGCGGTGGGTGCCACGAACTCCACCCACAATGTCAGCCCCGGCGAGTGCCACTGCGGATGCTGCGCGCCGGTGGGCTCTGGTGAGAAGGCGTGCACCGCCCCGGTCGGAGCGCTGCACAGCACCACCAAGACGGACATGTGCCGCACGATCTACTGCACGGATTCCGCGGACACGACGGGTGCGCAGAACCAGGCTCGACCAAAAAACAAACGACACCACCCCACCTACGGCCCTCCATGTTGCGCTACGGCCCATCGGGGGCCGTACCGTGGCGTATACCACGCAAAAGCCCACGCCAAATCTCCTGGTATTCGCTCAAGTCCTGTGGGGCCGCAGGTGGGGTGGCGTCGTTTGTTTCTGGTCCACAGGCGTGGAGCAGCTACTGCAGCTCCCGCTGCTTCCCGCACCCGGAGGTCGGGTCCACGTGCCGCCCCAAGGAGTGCGAGGACGCCGGCGTCAACGTGCATTGCCAGTGAGTCGCGAGGGAGGCGGCGGGGGGCGCGCCGCCAGGATGAGGCCGTGTCTCTGGGCAGAGCGACCGCTCGCACGGCCACCAAGGCGCGGGCGGGCCGCGCACACATCCGGGAGCTAGCCCCATGCCCCCCAACGAAAAAAAACACAAAACACACGGCCCAAGATGAGCCCAAGACGGCCCATGAGGCCCCAAGACGGCCCCAGGGGGGGGCCCCCGCTGTCCGCTCC